ATTCTCCTCTCTGGGATAAACCTCCGACATTATAGACCAATTGTGGAGCGGAATCTGGAGACGTTATGTTTGGCCCCCAAAGCTGGGCCAAGTTGAGGGGGCCAGATGGATGTTATGTATGTCCCTTGTGCTTGTGCGGCTTTTGGGATTGCTTTAAAGGGACACCGAAGGAACACACACTGTTGGGTTCCCGCATTTGGCTTCCTGCTGAAATGGACCAATAAGTTTGCGGTTTTGACATACCCGCACAAGCAAGAGGCTAGTTCTAAGATTTTAGTGCCTCCGGCTCAGGCCGCCGACATTACAGGCCTGCTTTCTTATTTGCGTCCCTTTGGAATTGTCCCTCTGCCCCCTTCCCCTCTGAGATTTTTGCCCCCCTTTCTTTGTTGAGATCCATTCCCCCTTTCCGCCCTAAGGCCTTTTCTCCCTCTGTTTTTTTCCCTTTTCCTCCCTAAGATGTTTTCACCCCTCTCCCTGTTGAGATCCTTTCCCCCCTTTCCCCCCTAAGGCCTTTTCCCCCCTGAGATCTTCTCCCTTTGCCTCCCTAAGATCTCCCAGATCGTCTCCCTTTCCTCCCTAAGATCTTCCCCCCCCTTTCCTCCTTAAGATCTTTCCCACCCTTTCCCTGTTGAGATCCTTTCCCCCCTTTCCCTCCCAAGGCCTTCCCCCCCCCCCATGAGAGCTTCTCCCTGTTCCTTCCTAAGATCTTTTCCCCCCTTTCCCTGTTGGGCTTCCCCCCCTAAGTCCTTTTCTCCCAGATTTTCTCCCTTTCCTCCCTAAGATCTTCCCCCCCCCTTTCCTTCCTAAGATTGTTTCCCCCCTTTCCCTGTTCAGATCCTTCCCACCCTTTCCCCCTGAGGCCTTTCCCCCCCTGAGAGCTTCTCCTTCCTTAGATCTTTCCCCCCTGTCCCTGTTGGCCTTTTTTCCCCCAGATCTTCTCCCTTTCCTCCCTAAGATCTTTTCCACCCCTTTCCCTGTTGAGATCATTTCTCCCCTTTCCCCCCTAAGGCCTTTGCCCCCAGATCTTCTCCCTTTCCTCCCTAAGATCTTTCCCCCCCTTTCCCTGCTCAGATCCTTTCCCCCCTTTCCCCCCTAAGGCCTTTCCCCCCCTGAGATCTTCTCCCTTTTCCTCCCTAAGATCTTTTGCAATTTTTCCCTGTTGAGATCCATTCCCCCCTTTCCCCCCTAAGGCCCTTTCTCCCTCTGAGTTTTTCCCTTTTCCTCCCCACGATGTTTTCCCCCCTCTCCCTGTTGAGATCCTTTCCCTCCTTTCCCCCCTAAGGCCTTTTTTCCCCCTGCGATCTTCCCCCTTTTCCTTCCTAAGATCTTTTCCCCCCTTTCCTTGTTGAGATCCTTTCCCGCCCTTTCCCCCCTAAGGCGTTTTCCCCCCCAAGATCTTCTCCCTTTTCCTCCCTAAGATCCTTTGCCCCCTTTCCCTGTTGAGATCCTTTCCCCCCTTTCCCCCCTAAGGCCTTCCCCCCCCTGAGATCTTCTCCCTTGTCCTCCCCAAGATCTTTTCCCCCGAGATCTTCTCCCTTTTCCTCCCTAGGATCTTCTCCCACCTTTCCCTGTTGAGCTCCTTTCCCCCTTTTCCCCCTAAGGCCTTTTCAGATCTTCTCCCTTTTCCTCCCTAAGATCCTTTGCCCCCTGTCCCTGTTGAGATCCTTTCCCCCTTTCCCCCCTAAGGCCTTTTCCCTGCCTGGGACCTTCTCCCTTTTTCACTGAGATCTTTCCCCCCCTTTCCCTGTTGAGATCCTTTCCCCTCTTTCCCCCCTACGGCCTTTCCCCCCGCTGAGATCTTCTTCCTATTCCTCCTTAAGATCCTTTGCCCCCTTCCCTTTAAGGCCTTTCCAGATCTTCTCCCTTTCCTTCCTAAGATTGTTTCCCCCCTTTCCCTGTTGAGATCCTTCCCACCCTTTCCCCCCTCAGGCCTTTCCCACCTGAGAGCTTCTCCCTTTTCCTTCCTTAGGTCTTTCCCCCCTTTCCCTGTTGGCCTTTTTTCTCCCAGATCTTCTCCCTTTCCGCCCTAAGATCTTTTCCACCCCTTTCCCTGTTGAGATCATTTCTCCCCTTTCCCCCCTAAGGCCTTTGTCCCCAGATCTTCTCCCTTTCCTCCCTAAGATCTTCCCCCCCCCCCCTTTCCCTGCTGAGATCCTTTTCCCCCTTTCCCCCCTAAGGCCTTTCCCCCCCCTGAGAGCTTCTCCCTTTTCCTTCCTAAATCTTTTCCCCCCTTTCCCTGTTGGGCTTTCCCCCCTAAGTCCTTTTCTCCCAGATCTTCTCCCTTTCCTCCCTAAGATCTTCCCCCCCCCTTTCCTCCCTAAGATCTTTCCCACCCTTTCCCTGTTGAGATCCTTTCCCCCCTTTCCCTCCCAAGGCCTTTCCCCCCCTGAGAGCTTCTCGCTTTTCCTTCCTAAGATCTTTTCCCCCCTTTCCCTGTTGGCCTTTTTTCCCCAGATCTTCTCCCTTTCCTCCCGAAGATCTTTTCCACCCCTTGCCCTGTTGAGATCATTTCTCCCCTTTCCCCCCTAAGGCCTTTTTGCCCCAGATCTTCTGCCTTTCCTCCCTAAGATCTTTCCCCCCCCCCCAGTTCCTTGTTGAGATCATTTATTTCCCCCCTTTTCCTTCTAAGGCCTTTTCCCACCCTCAGTTCTTCTCCCTTTTCCTCCCAAAGATCTTTCCCCCCCTTTCCTCCCTAAGTCCTTTTCCCTGAGTTCGTCTCCCTTTGCCTCCCTAAGATCTCTTCCCCCCTTTCCCGCTTAAGATCCTTGCCCCCGTTTCCCCCCTAAGGCCTTTTCCCCCCAAGATCTCCACCCTTCTCTTCCCAAAGTTTTTTTCTCTCTTTCCCGATTGAGATCCTGTCCCCCGATTGCCCCTTAGGGCCTGTTCCCCCCGAGAAAGATTTCCCTTTTCCTCCCAAAGATCTTTTCCCCCCTTTCCCCCTTAAGGCATTTTTTCCCCAGATCTTCTCCCTTTCCTCCCTGAGATCTTTCCCCCCCTTTCGCTGTTGAGATCCTTTCCCCCTTTCCCCCCTTCATTTCCTTCACCAGCATAGGCAACATCCCCAGCATCACTTGCGTCATCCGCATCCTTGGCAGGCGCTGATGCGGATGATGCAGGTGATGCTGGCGATGTGCCGCTGGAGCTGCTAAGCGCACCCGGGGGGAATCGAACACCCCAATGTTTTTGACAAACTGAGTTGCGCAAGCCCGCACAATGAACCCCCCCCCTCAATAGTCTGAAACGCTGCCCCTGGGGAGGGGTTAGGGGAGGGGTAACAGGTAAAGAGGTAAGGAGCATTTCTTATGTCCAACACGCCGCCTGTTGTCGGCGGATTCTAGGAATACCTTCCCACTCCTTCCTGGGATTATTGTGTCCCGAGAGAACCACCCAGAACCCGGAAAAAATGACTAGTTTCTGCAAATAACGATGGTTGAAAAAAATGGGGGATCGAACCCTGGACTAATGTTGAGCAGGATTTTTCCCAACAATCAGAAGATTGCCCAAACAGTTTTGACCCAAGGTTTCAGTGCTGGCCCAGCTTTCAGAACGCGCCGCTGGCTCTGAAGAGAGGATGCAAGACATGGATAGACAACAGCAACCGTTTGATATTGTAATGCCTCCAACTGACGGAATCTTGGCACGACCTGATCGCATGAAGAAGCATTGCAAGCTCATTCCCTTGCACCAGGTACACTTGCTTGAATGCTTGGCTGCGAAATCGATACTCGCATGACTGCTGGCAATCGTTGAACTGACAGGCAAAGTGGGAGCAACAGGGTCAGGCAGGGCTCCCTAGATTTCCCTCTTATGGTGGTTTGAGACATCCCTTTTTGGGGCAATTTGAAGTGAGCTTCCTTACGTTTGAGGAAGAAACCTAGGGAGCCCTGTTAGGGGTGACATTTGCAGCCTGTCATCCAACGCCCCTTGCAATGCCGTGGCCTCAGATTTGGTGCTGGTGTGTTCGAGGTGCCTAGTTTGGCATTCGTCTTTCCTCTCCTACCATTTGGCAGCTTTGCCGTAAATGAAGATGGTAATTAAATGAAGAGCATGGTGTCAACCAGGTGACTGGAGAAAAAACGATATGGCGAGGTGCAGCCTGTCCGCGGGTGCGCGACGGACGTGAGGTCGGTGCAACCAGCCAGTGGCTCAGATGGAACCATCTACATCTTCCTGGAGGCCCGGTTTTTGTGCAATGATGCGCTTTTAGCCGCCAGGGGTTCGTGTGTTTTCTGGGGGTAAGCACTCTTCAGATTGGTTTGCAAGGGACGCCAAAAGGAAAGCCACCATGTTGGACCCGTATTTCCGGGACAAGAGACCTCCCTGAAGGGTTTCGAAACAGCTACACTTTGTAGAATTGTAGAAAGTTTCATTGTTGTTCCGGAAGACAATGAGGCTACAAGAAGAAAGTACAACCAAGCAAGAAGGGCGATCGGTCTAGCAGCATGTCCTCAAATGATTTTTTGCCTGCCCAGTCGACGCCTTTTGTCAGAGCAGTGAAGGAGTTTGCGGTTTGACAAGATTCCCATGAGATGTGGGGGCACACCGAATAATTTAGCCCCAAACAAACCAGCGCCCGCATGCAGCGCAGTGTGCACTCGCACGAACGCCCTCGCGCACGCACCCACACTCACACCCACACCCGCACCCACACCCACACCCACACCCGTACCCCTCCTCCCCCGCCCCCGAACGCGCACGCGCAAGCGTACACGTACCCACACCCACGCACGAGAGAGAGAGAGAGAGGGAGAGAGAGAGAGAGAGAGAGCGAGAGAGAGAGAGAGAGAAAGCGAGAGCGGGCGAGAGAGAGAGGGAGGCAGAGAGAGATGTGGCGTGGTCAACATGGCAAGTAGTGCAGCCTCATATCTTGAACGTTGACGCATTTGTTGCCGCAGTTTTAGCAGCACAAGATCTGCCAAGCAGTTGTTGCAGCGGTCCACCCGCGCCCGCTGGCGATCCGCCTCCGCCGGGTCTTCGTCTGCATTTTTCCCGAACGGGAGATGTGGGCGGCGATCTTTGGTACCAAACTGCCAGATGACGAGTACCACATCAAGGTGCGCTTTGCGCCTGGTTATTCGCCAGGCGTGGTGCGAAGGTCCACACAAGTTGGTACACACCAACCATTTAAAGTGGGCGGGGCTTGTGTAGTGGTTGCCAGAAGTTCTTCCCCCCTTTCCTTGGCTCCTGGTGCTCTTTCCCGCTTTACCCTATTCCAACAATCATGAAGGTGGACAAGTGGCCTTTCCAAAAGGATTGTAGTCTTCCAAACCCCTCCTGCAAGAATCGTATCGTAGCCCTGGAAACCGGTTGGCATGGGGGAAGTCTGTCAATGAACCCCCGGGGAAAGATGCGGCGGGCTTACTTTGCAGGGACTTTTGTTCTTTTCTTTCGAGGGATTTGCAGGGTCCTTGTATGTTCTTTTTTTTGATGACTTCAATATATCCGTTTGCTTGCGATTTAGAAATGCACATTTTTTGGTTGTCGGTCATGTTTCTATTCGGGACGAAAAAGGAACCGCTGACACGGCCAAGGGGTTCATTTGAGACGTGCTTCGGAGGCCCCCATTTTAGGTGGGTTCCATGTCCCATTCCAACGGACCTCAAGATAGTCACAATAGAAACCTGAGCAAATGAAGGTTAGTAAGGGACAGTCACATCCACAAGTTGGTGTGGCCGCTCTTTGGATTTAATATGATGTTGGGTAGACTACTTTGATACCCAGGTTTTATTGGCTGAAGTGACTTCACCAGGTATCGCCGTATCGCCATATCGGCGACCCCATCAGGTGCCATTGATCCACGGTACCGGATGATGCCGCAGAAGTGGATGTCGGACACTCGGCTCTTTGGGCTAAAATAATTAGCCCCGCTCTCCCCCGCTTCTTATGTTTTCTCTGTTGGAAGGATCAAGCATCGTAGAAGGAAATGGCATGCGCGTTCCCCACAGTTTGGAGCAATGTTTGAGTACATGGGGGCCACTTTCCAGCACGGTCCAGTGGCTGCGTTATCACATGTTCAATATCCCGAATAAGGGTCCCTTAAGGGGTTGGAGATGGGAAAAAGTAGACCTTGGATGCTGGTTTTGGAAGTGCTTCCCAGACACTTACCCATTTCAGAACCCCCAACTAGCTCCTATCAAAGGCTCAACCCGAAAGAAACCACAGGGGTTCCGAGTGAGACATACCCTTCGGTTTCAAATTTCCCCCCACTTCATTCCTGAAAGATGACGATGTGCACACGTGAGTCACAACCAAAACCTGGGTAGGTGAAGGATAGTAGGCGACAGTCACAGCCATATCTGGGCGTGGCCGCCCTTAACCTGTAGCCGTAACCTGTTCACCCGTTCGGAAAATGAGGAACACTCCCCCCACTACTAGGGAAGCCGACGACGGAAGGAACCCAAAACAAGACCATTTGTAGAGGAATCTCCTTTTTGAGTCCAAAAGGCCGAACATTTGGCAACTCCCGCACTGAGCAATGTGCAAAAGCACGGCACATTACGATTTAGAAACACTGGAACGTTCCCCCGACTAAATGCACCAAGAAGAAAGGAAACAAGCACCAGTGATGAACATCTGATTTGCACGGAAGCAAAATGCTAGACTGCGCCCACTTTCGACTTTTATGCGGATTTCTGATTCTGGCAGCTTTCGAGCCGCAAGGGCCTGTGGTAGTCATTTTGTTTGCATTTCGTATTACCTGTTGTATGCATTTTTGGCACGCAGTTGTGTGTAGGTATTGAACACAAAATGCACACAAAATGGTGCATTCCTTTCGCATGCCCTTTATGCATTTCATTTTGAATACTCTTGAATGCATACAAATGCATAGCACACAGAGATAAAACATACATATGCCGGCAACAGCTGGTGCCAGAGTCAACAATGCAGCTATGGCTGCCTTCAGACTACATTTTGCCTGCACTTGGTATGCCTTGAAACTGCATTTTGTATGCACTACGCAGGACAGGCATGCAAGATGTGTGCTGCATTATTGTGTGACTTGTGCATGCAGAATGCAGACAAAAGGCATACAACATGCAGCATGAAGTTTATGTTGCTTTCTGTGCGTTGTTTGTTTGCGATTGTATGCCTTGCATCTTGTATAGGCATGCGAAATGAATGTATAATTTTTGTGTACATTTGTTTTTCGCTTAGTATGCTTGCAATCTGCATTTCGTTTGCATTTGTATGCATTACGCAGGACAGGTCTATGTCTGCATTCTTGGCTTTGGCTATATTTTTTTGAAATGCGTGCAACATGCGTACAGACAAAAGGCAAACAACAAGCAGCCTTGTGCATTGTGTAGTCTTGTTTTTCTGCGATTGTATGCATTTTCTCTGGACATTGTTTGCATTTTGGTAAGTGTTCCAAATGGGTACACCATGTGTGTATGCATTAGGTTTGCATGTTTGGCCCTCGCTGTTTTTGCATTTGGGGCTCCGGCATTGCTGCCTTGCGACTACAATTTGTATGCACTTTGTATGTGGGCTTGTTGTATGCATTATGCAGGACAGGTGCATCCCATGCATGCAGCATGATTTTTGCCTGCCTTTGTTATGCATCATCTATGCATTTTGTTTTTGCTTTTTTAATTCATTCGGTTGGCGTCCTTTCCTTGTGTGCAAAATTGCAGTTTTATGTGCAGTTTATGTGTTCCGTACGTCTGCTTTGCTGTTCATTTTGTATTCATCGAGTTTGCATTCTTGGGCAGGCAGAATGCAAACGGCGCGTAATATGCATGAAACCATTTTGTTTGCGCATTGCGTGTGCATTCTTGGCTGTGGCTGCATGCAGTTTTGAATCTGGCTTGTCTACCTTTGTCTTGTTTTTCTGCGGTTGCGTGCATTGTGCCTGCATATTGTATGCATTTAATACAAAAGGCATGCAACCTGGCACCATTTCTGTGTGCATTGTGGTTGCATTTTTGGCCCATCTGTTTGCATGTTTTTCTCTGCATCTTGGTTGCTTGTTTTTTGCTAGTTTTGAGTCCTTTCCAAATCCATGCACCATGCGTGCAAAATCCATACAACGAGTTGTGTTAGGTGCCCGGGGGGTTGCTTTCCTCTCCTTTCCCGTGCTTTCCCTTGCTTTGCCTTGCCTTCCCTTGAATTCGCTTGCTTGCCTTTGCTTTCCCTTGCCTTGTCATTTGTATTTGGTATGCCTTGCTTTCCCTTGACTTCGCTTGCTAAGGCTCTCCCTTGGTTTCCCTTGCTTTGCCTTACTTTCCCTTGAATTGTCTTGCTTTGCTTTGCCTTCCCGTGAATTCGCTTGGTTGCCCATGCTTTCCCTTGCTTTTCCATGCTTTCCCATGCTTTCCCTTGCTTTCCCTTGCTTTCCCTTGCTTTGCCTTGCTTTGCTTTGCCTTGCTTTGCCTTGCTTTGCCTTGCTTTGCCTTGCTTTGCCTTTGCTTTCTTTTGTTGCCTTGCCTTTGCTTTCTGTTGTTGCCTTGCTTGTTTGCAGGGATCCTAAGAGACCAAAGATGAGGCTTCAGCTTCCTCGCGTAGCAAAGCCAAAAAGTGTCCACTGGCACCTTTATAGTATGTTTTTGTGTAGTGCGTTCCCCACAAAAGCGACAAAACTCCGGTAGCCTAACCACCTCTAAACCACCAATCTAAATCACCACTTAGAGGGAAGCTGAAAAACTACCTTTGAATAAGAGATATGGGGGTCACTATGCAACTTCCATGGCAACCCAAAGACAGAAAGACACAGCAACTTAAATCCAAACTGCTTTTCCTCGACGCCAGCTCCTTCTGCCTTTTGGACTTTTGTTCGCCTGAGGACACCGAGGAGTGGGAGGCGGTCAGTTCCTTTGCCTGGGAACGGATCATTCGCCAAATCGAGGAGAGCTTTGAGTGCGAGGAGTCCAAGGTCTATAGGCAGCAGATCAGGCGCACGGTGAAACGCTCGCGACGTGTTGGGTACAGCTGTGCGTGCGGCTTGATTCCTTCGATGGGACTCCTTCGTGTTTGAGTTGCTGGTGGTGACACGCACCTTTTTCAGCCCGTTGAGACATCACTTGTTGGACCACTTAGCTGGGTTTCCTCTTGGCTACACGGAACATATAGGGAGCTCCATGTGGGTGCGGCTTCTTTTTGTTGAGTTTGCAGGTTTCACAAGGAAAGGCGCGTGTTCCAAGTGACGCTCTTTTGGATTGTTGAGGCGTTACCCTTTTGGAGGGACTCAAGGGAACATGTGTGGCTCCTTGTTGTAGCTTCAAATGAGTGCGTGTTCCCTTTGGGTGCCGTTTTCGGGGTGCCCATGTTAGTCGCGTCCTCCGAAATGGTACCATACCAACTTGGCCGTTTCATTGAAACGCGCGGGAGGCTTTGGCACGTGGGTGGCAGGTCTTTTTTGGAGGGTGCCCTTGTTGGTTAGGTTTTAAAGGGATTCCAAAAGGAAGCCATGTGTTTTGAGCACCTGCCACAAACCTCATAGAGCCCACCAAACCGTGGTGGTTGATCTGAAAACTCATTCACTGCCAGGCAGCAGGGTCCGAGCGTCAGTGGTTTAGGGGTTCAAAGTGATAGGATATTTGAGATTGAAAACCAGTTGAACTCAATTGGACTCTGGCGCATCGAGCTGTTTCCTTTTTGTTGGTGCATTTCAACATCAGCTTTTGGGCATATATATTAAGTGTTTTTTCCCCAACAGCTGAAAGCTTTGGGGTCTCAGCCCAGATAGGCTCCGGGGTGGTCCGGGGCGGCCCTGAGGCAAGGTTCCACGAGGGTTCCACCAGGGTTCCACGAGGTTCTGCGAGGGCTGCGGGGTAGTGCAAGCACTAAAACGAGCACAGGGTTCCGCATGCTGTTGGGGATATCACCTGAGCTTTTTTCCTTTTGGTGAGGTGATTTGACAAGGGGGAACAATAGAGGACTCTGCTTTCAGTGCGTCTACAAGGGGTCACCCTTTGTCAACGCATTCTCAATCCAAAGCGGATCCACCTTTCTAACTGTTTGGCCGATTTTCCAATGTTTTGCGGCTTGGTCCTAGAATGTGACCATTGGGCAACTGGGTGGGTACTACGTCCACCCGCCCGGTCTCCACTTTTGGTTGCATGGTCCCTCTTGTGGGAAGACTAGACACATACAATCGGGGCCCCTCCTTTTGATTGAAGCATTTCGCCCACATGCTGTAGTAGCACCAACGGGTCTCACAATACAGACCTATGGCATTCAAAAAAACGTGTGTTTTCATATATTTGTATGTATTCAACCAAAACGTGTATACACACACACATATATATATATATATATATCAAAAGGGGACCCTCCCCCCCACCCTCCTCCCCAAGACCCTCACGAGCGGATCCACTTGCTTTTGCCTCGAGGCGGCGGGGCTGCCTGGCGATCGTGTCGCTGATTGGCCTCATACCGGGCTTTGTGCCGTTGCCAGATCAGAGAGGCTTACAAGAAGTGAAAGAATCACGTTGTTGGATGTTTCACCTTAGGTCGGTTTTTGTTGGGGACATGTGTGTTTCCCCACCAGCCAGCAAAAAATGATATTTGTTTTGGAAAGGGGGTAAATAGCCACATAGACTACAGACCAAACAAATCAACTTGGACAGATTCCGATTAAGTGGGGTTGTACAAGTGTTGTACAAGGCCAAATGTAAGTATTGGTAGAAGTGGGGCTTATACATTGGCTTATTCCCCCACATCATGACTAAGTTTGGTTTTAAAGCATTTTAACATTCTATTTATTTCCCGCTGATATTGGCTGTTTCACTTACAATGACCAGCAATCAGCTGGCACGCGGACCGCAAATTTCCAAATCTGTGCCAACTGTACCTATTGGTGCGGTATGCGAAGTGATTGTGTCTCACTACACCTGCTTCATTTGTCCTTGTTTTCCCTGTAGCCAGCAACAAGTCGTCATTTGGGATCCGATCCGTCTGGCCCAGATACTTGGCTTCCTCATGAGCTTCCTCGGGTGCATTGACGGCAACACCGGAGTTTGTGTGACAGGGCTGACCTTTGCATCGATCTTTGTGTGCGCACTAGTTGGCCACTTGGCATCGAAGAGCCATTTCTTGTGTTTTGGCAACATCGGACATGGGGCCCTTAAAAGGGTTTTGTGATGAGGCCTGATAGGCGGCAGCATCAGCATGAGCATGGTGATGCCCAACTACGCCCGCGCGGTGATGAACCACTTGGAGCCGCGCTTGTTGCAGTTGCAGGCGACCAATCCCTCCATGAGGCGCCGGGCTTTGGGGAATATTAAGGCTTGTTCAGGATTTAGGAGGTTAGGAGTTTAGGAGTTTAGGGTGCTTGGTTCGAAGGTTGGTGTTGAGGTTGGTGTACGGGGCGGACACCGCCCAGAAAGATTCCCTCAAAAGCAGAACGGAAGCTCCAAACTAAGGTGGTGTCCTTTTGGTTTCCTCAAGAAAACAGGGTTCCTTCAACGTCCTAAAACCTCCCTCTTTACAAGGGAGTCCTCTAAATCATGTGTTGAAGGAGATTCTTTGAATGGCCCAAATGTATCCTTTCAAGGGATCCTGAAAAGCACATATCCGGATCTTGATTTGAGGTGTTCCGCCGTTTGGCTCTGAGGCTGGACTTCTTGAACGTCAGGATGGATAACTCGCCGCAGCACCCGGGCAGAGAGTTGGTTAGGTCCAATATTATTTTGGTACTGCAGCGAGTACATTTGGTTGAGGCTTCTTCGTCCTTCGATCAACATGTTTCAAAATGGTCCAAAATCCAGCTTTTGATCATTTGTGACTGTGTCTTAAGCATTTCTGTCTCCAAATAAATTATGTTTATTATAAAGTTGACTAAACAGAAATCATATTCCGAACATATCAAGCCTGGTGTACCCTGGTCGGGCCAAGGTTCTGTTGCAGCGTGGCTTTTCCATTGTTTGGCCACCCATGGAGGTGTTGATTCCTGGGTTTGACGTCGTTCTGAGCAGAGTGTGTATGAGGTCACTGTGGATTGTGCCAGCAGCCGAGGTTTGAAATCCGAGTGAAGCTGAAGAGCAGGAAAGAGCCGCTCGCTATTGAAGGGCTGTTCTTTTGACAACTGGCCACGCACACTTTGATGGGGAATCGGAACACCCTCCAAAATGAATGGTGCAAATCCACATGTAGATGAATTCCACAAAAGTGTGACCCCCTCCCAATAATTAAAGAAGTTTGGGGCGAGCGCTGATTTTAATAAATGTGCCATGTTGATTCCTGGACTTGATATCTTTTGTGAATGTCTTTTTAGGTGCCCAACCACAACCCAAAGACCCCAAAAGAGCCGCAACCGTTGTCTTTCCCTTTTTCAAGAAGCCCCTTGCTAAGTGGTTTGAACATCCAAGTACCCACATTTGATGAGCCCTTCGTGAAGGTGGTCTTGAACCGATGTAGCCATGGTAGGGCCAAACGTCAATGAGTGAAATGCTGCTGCGGCAAGACTTGCCCGGGCAAGGTGCGAGCTGGAAAGAGCCGCGGGCGACAAGGTCATCGCCACCAAGGGCGTGGCGCCGCAGAGAACTGCCCTGGCGCCGCTGCCCCAGTCCTTGCCATCGTACTGGACCAACCAGGAGAGCGGCTATGTTTCTTATTGCAGAGTTGGGAACCACCCGAGTTGGTGGACATGAATCCCCACCAAAATGCTGTCCACCAAAGGCTGCAAAAAAAAGAGAAAACACATTCCCGAGTGGGCACGTGCTCAAAGAATGGAATTGAACCCTCTAACTTTCGGGCAGCAAGCAAGCCAGCAAGCAAGGAAACAAGCAAGCAAGCAAACAAGCAACGCAAACACAAAAACAAGACTGTTCCAAAGGCTTTGAACGTTGACGAAAGCTTCTGGGTAGTACATGAGCCTGGTTTCCTCGGGTTTCCGTCCAGTGTCTTTGGAGCAACCCCAATTTCCTTTAAGACGGACCCATTTTAGTGACAGCTGGGTTCTGACAATTGGGAAGGATTTCTTCTCATGTACTCAAGCTAGAACGTGTTTGTTAGAACCCATTTTGACCAGGCTTGCCGTTTTGCAAGACACATATATATATATATATGTATAGGGTCGCCTCAGTCGACCCCTCGAAAATTCGCTCCCATGGAAAATGCCACACTGCAAAGAAGCTGACGCTGGCCCACTTTCAAAGGGCAACCGACACGAAGGCGTTTCAACAAACCTTTGTGAAGGCCAAACTTGTGGGTATGGCAAGCGAACAGCTACAGTCTACTGGTAATTCTCATGACATTTGTGCCATGGTTGGAAAACACCGGCTTGGCTTGGGTTTGGTAGGGTTGGCCGTGGACCCGTCAAGTTTGGATGTTGGACAACCATTGTAAGCGTTTCTTTTATTGGAGCCATGTCCATGACCCAAAAAAAAGAATTTTGATTATGGCCCATTGCAGAAGCAGATTCTAAAATGTGCGCCAGAAGGATTTGACCTGGAAGGGTGTCGTTCCTGACTCTAATTCGAAAGGAACCCAGCCTGAATGTGTGTGTGTGTGTGTGCTCCTTATCTTTCCCCTTTCAGGGTGGCTTGTAACAATCACCTTTGCATTGAAAATTGGTTTGGTGAGTTTAATGTGGGGCGATGCTCAAAGGAACAATACAATGGGGAGCCCAGTTGAATCACCCAGCCCCTTTTTGTTCTCCGCCCTCAAGAGTAATGTTGAGAACCCTCAAGGAAGGATTGTAGTGCATCCTGTATTTTGACCCAAACAACTTATTTGGTCAGGACAGAGCTGTGCATTTCCGGCACCGCTGTGAAGTGTCAGCGGAGACGCGCGAGCTCTTCCAGGCAGGGCGGGGTGAGCGGAGCATCCTCAAATCCTTACCAGTACTACCGGCATGATTATGATTGTATGGCTTTGAATGTTAGTAGAGAACCACCTCAAAGGTGGTTGGTGGACACGTTTCTTCACCTAAATGATGTGCACCCAAGGGGCGCCCATGAAGATTCGCACCTGTGTAACCCCATGAAGTCGGGAAGTAGATTGTCCCCACCCCGCCAAACATGGAATTCATGGGGACTTCGACCAGTAGGATTCCGTTTATGGCTTCGTTTTCTGTTTTGCTGGGAAGCCAACCTTCCCCTGAAGGTAGTTTGTGAATTACGAATAAATTCCCAGTTTCCAGTGGAGCTTGGCCTTTTGTCTTGTCTTTTGGGAAAGGCTTCCCCTTGAAAGCACAAAGACTGAACACGTACCGAGATTTGGGGAAAAACCTAGTTAGACGGTTTGGTGGGGGCCAGTCCAATTTAGCATGTATCCTGAATCCCACTTCTTTCCGGGGCCACAGCCTTCCGCACCAAGGTTAGACACCAAACTATGTGGGAGGTTTTTGCACACAATCTCTCCAAATGAGACAAGGCATCTTCAGGGCTGCAAATACTCACACATCAGAGGGAACCAACAGGACGCCATATTTCGACACATTCTCAGAGCAAAGCTGACCTTTCGGTTTTCCCATTTTGGATGTTCCATGTTTAGTCATTCCACACGGTGATCAGCGGATATATATATATATATACATATATTATATATATATATACAAAACTGTTTTTCCCCCGGCGAGTACCGATTGGGAAAGCATGCATCCTCAAACAGTGTCCTGAGACTACTTGCTGGAAAGCCTGGAAGAAAGCAAGATAATGGCAATAGGCTTATGATTGCCCGCCTGATTTTCTTATGACCATGACCTTGATTTCACAATAACTCCGCAGCCCCATTCCATACAGAGATTGAACCCCCCCAGTTGTTTTGTCTTGGAGTCCTCTTGCCCAGTTTCCAGAGGTCACCCGGAAAAGCAAAAAAAGCACCAAGCAACCTCACCACTCCAAACCACCGAGCCATCCCCACCAATCAATCGCCTGGGGTCAGGCGGTGTTGGACCAGACCTTCAAGGCCAGGAGCACCCGCGACCGCGTGGGGAGCTTGCCGAAGAGGCTGCGCCTGCTGAAGTGCCACCGGGTGGAGGACGGGCTGACGGGCTGGAGGTGGGATGAGGGGTGGACACATCCCTGGCTGAAGCAAAGGATTCCTCCCTTTTTTGATCAAAAGAGTTGACATGGACAAATTTTGAGTCATAAGCAACCAGGGGGTGCAAAGATCTAGTTCACTTTCATTCAGCAGAAGCCCTGGTTGATTTTGGTTGGTTGGGTCTCCAGTTTGAGGGGGTCCTTTACTTTCTGCGGGGGGGGTGACCCATGTTAGACCCACATGGGAGGATGTCCCAGCCCCCAAAAAGGTTTACTCCTGGGAGGGTTCTCTTCTTGTGGAAATTACCAAATTCCGAGCAGCCAACGAACAAACACCCACTCTAGGAGGTTCCTCCATTTTGGGTATGTGTGAAATGGTGGTGATCCTTTTGGTATCCCTTTCAACCCCAGAAAAGGCAACCCCCACCCCCCCTTCTCCCCCACCTCGCCACCCCCGCCTCCCCAACCAAGACAGCAACAAATGTAGGCCCTCCACAAGCCCAAACTCTGCATCCGCTCGCGTGCGACAGGACAGCAGCCAGTGGTCCCTCTACAGCTCCTGCGCCGCGGCATCGGTTTTGATTTGCAGCACCTCTTTGGTGACTGGGGAACGCATGTTTTCGGGCTTTTTAGAACAGCGTTCCCAAGGGATGGAAAGGGAGCTTGCCCCGTGTTCCCAGTGCGTCATGTTTTGAACGGTGTTTGTTTCCCTCAACACCTCCTTCCAGATCAGCGACAAGTTTCCCTTTTGCGATCAGTTTGGCCACGACATCAGAGGGTAGCCTGCGTAGTGCCTTCCAAGCACACACCGCAGAAACACACACACACACACACAACACACACACACACACACCCACACCCACACCCACACCCACACCCACACCCACACCCACACCACACCCACACCACACACCCACACCACACACCCACACCACACACCCACACCACACACCCACACCCACACCCACACCCACACCCACACCCACACCCACACCCACACCACACACCCACACCCACACCCACACCCACACCCACACCCACACCCACACCCACCACACCCACATTCATGCCCACACACACACACACACCCAAACCCACACAAAAACCTATGCGGAAAGCGCACAACACAAAAACAAACAAACAAACAATCAAACAAACAACAAACAGCCAGCCAGCAAGAAAGCAAGCGAGCAAGCAAACAAACAACACGCACGCACACACATGCACACACAAACGCAAATGCACACACACAATCACACACACACACACAAGCACACAAAGACACAAAGACACAAACACACGCACAAACATGTATATATATATATATATCCATATACATACACACGCAGAAGACAACCAGCAAGCTAGAAAAGCACGCGGCTTCATCCGCGCTGTGCAAGTGGCCGAGGTCTTGACAGGCTGAAGGTTAAGTGGCCGGCTTGCACGCCTATCAGCCAGCACTACACAGCCACGCCCAGCGAAGGCAACGAGGAGATACGCCCGTCCAACAAACGACTAAAAGCCATGGAAAGCGACTGTTTTTGAGAAGAGCGATGGTTGATAAGAGGCTGGGGAATCATGGCATTTGCGCTTTGTGAGGCCAGGGACCCAACGCGTGGGCCTTGTTTTGACCACACAGGTCTTGCGAGGGTTGGTTGCACTTTGTTTGAAAACACAGTCCCGGTCCCCTTTCAAGGGGAACCAAAGTGAGGTTATTTCAACAGTGGTTTGATTTAACCTTGTTGAAACACGCAGTTTTCCAACCTTAAAAACCCCACGGGAAACCAATTGACCAGGGGGTTGCTCAGAAAATGTGAAGCAGCCAAGCGAAAGCCCATTCTGAGATTGTTTCAACGGTGATTTCAACCTGAGCAAATGGCGTTGCTCGCGCAATGGCCGCAGGAGGATGGGCATTCTGGGGAGGTCCTCACACGCCCAGTGCTTGGGGGCCTTGCCAACCGCCTAGACGCGAAGCTCAACGAGTCCTTCGCCGAAGTGGCCGCCGGTGGGAACATGGGTCTGTCATGTTTCAGGATAACTACCAACAAGAAAAGGAAACCGGCCATTGTGGGGGTTCCCCTATTTCGAGACAAACCCAACATCTACCATGGTATCATAGCAAGGGGCGAATACAACTGAAACGAGTTACTGCCTCGTACAATCATGACGAAAGTTGGCTTTTGAAGTACCTACAACGGGTTTGGGCCAGACCCGGGAACCTCCCCTTTAAGTGGAGAAGTCATTCGGAAGGCCTTCCAGGTCGGCTGGCAGAGTCCGAGAGGGACCTCCACGACCCCCCAAGAGGACGGTCAGAACCACCTCCTTCATTTCCTCCACAAAAGGCTGATTTGCGCCAGGTGTGGATATGCCCAGGAGAGAGACAAAATCAGTCGTCCCCGGCCCCCCGGAGAGGTTCAAACTAAACCCTTGGAAGAGAACCCCTTTGGATCAAGACATGGGATTTAGGCGACCTTGTTGGACATCTACCCCAAGGAATTCAAACGCCGAGCTCCCAAAAGATTCAGCAAAAGGACCGTGGGCGATTTAGCCTTAAGGGAAAACACATTCCTGAGGCCTAAGGGGAAATTGTCCCCTTCGGACGGTGCCGAGGCTCCCAAAAACATCCAGAGAACGGACGGACGATGCCCCATGTCGCTTCCCATGCGGCACTGAGGTTTTACCTCATGCACGGCACCAGCCCCAACGGTGCCCTGGGCATCACCGACGCTGGCTTCCGCCTGGACTTCTCGGGCTCCCACGCCGGCAGCATGTTCGGAGCCTCGCAAATGGAGCATGGGGGTTGGTAGAGTTGGTGTTGGGATTTGGTAAATTTGGCAAATTGGGTGGACGGCATGTTGTTTTCGTTCTGAGCCTTTGGATGGAGCAAAATGGGTGCAGGGAGTTTGGCAATGCCTCAAAAGGACATTCAAAAGCAAATTCAGAAGGACAAATGGAAGATAAAGTGGGCTTTGAACTTTCTTGGGCAGCCTGTTCGCATATCGTTTGGAGATACTTTTCTTCTGTGTGTGTGTGGAGGATGCTGAAGAAAAGTACTTTGGATCAATGGACTTCCTTTTTTTGCGGTTACCGTTTTCCGTTCGTTTCAAAGGCATTTCGCATGGACACCTGAAGTTTAAACCAAATGGGCGTGTGTGTGTTTTTTAGCCAACAGGATATTTGCGTTCGGTAGATTTGGCTTTCTTTCTGGTTTTGGCGGATTTGGACAACGTGGAAGATTGGCTTTTGGGAGATGCAGGCATTTTGGGTTTTGGGAGATGTGAGGTGTTCTAGAAAACCCACGTGATGTTGCAAGAAGCCCCAAGTACCGATTGGTCGGGATGGTCCCAACCCAAACCTCAAGCGTGAAGGCCTTTACCATCTCTTGTGTTTGTGGGAGTTTTTCGCGAAAGCATCGCCAGCCTTATCGCGCAGCCAATAGCAAACTGCGAATTTTCGCAGAGGCCACTAGTGCAGCGAGAGAGAGAGAGAGAGAGAGAGAGCGCGCTTGCACGCAGAACTTGCGCAGAGAAACTTGCGCGGATATTGCTCAGACAAACTTGCAGAGAGACTCTTGAAAGCTGCGACTCAATACTAATACTGAACCTGCTCGCTACACGTTGTGCTTTCGGGCCACCCGTTCTTCTAGTTCTTTTTGTTGGGGGGCCGGACAGAATGGCGAGCCACTGCTTCCTCGCTCGCCAAACTCACACATGAAGGGCTCTTATGTACCGCTGAGGGTGTTTCCGCGGGCTTGTTACGGCATGTTACTGGGAAATCATATCCCGCTTTCAAATTTCGTCTATATTTGCGTACGTGCTTGGGAGTACATGCCGCATCCTCACGGGTATACGACAGAAGCCCTTTTCATCGAATATTTGGCTTTCGCTGGACTTGAAATCATCGCCAACAAAAACACAAAAGAACGGGGGGGACTCATGTCCACCAAGCCTCCAGCCTTTGAGGAACATAGCTTCCCTCTAGCGGGGCGTGATACATGAAGACTCATTGTTTGTCTCCAAGTTCGGGAATTCCTAAAACTGTTCAAGAGCAACCGCCTAAAACAGGTGTGTATATATACATACACATTCAAAAACGACACTGGGTTGCAACGTCACTTGTGATGACTCCCGAAGTGGTTTTCCTTTGGTTTCCCTTCAAAAACCACGCAAAGGCAAGCGGGCACCCTCAAAACAGCGCACAGGTTGACCGTGGCTCATATTGGCTGCTCATCTCAGTTCTCGCCGCTCGGCTCAGCTCGGGCTGAGGCGACGGCGCCTACTTCGCGGAGTGCTCGTCGAAAGCGGATGAGCGCCTTGGCAAAAACATCCCACGGGTTGGGCGCACAATTTATCAATCCAGATCCAAGTTCCCGGACGTTGCGGCAAATGTGCTTTTCTTTTCATCAGCCCACTCAGGAAATGAGCCCTGTCTCCCTTGAAGGGAAAGCAGCAGGAGATGGTGTAAGAACAGTGGTTCAAACCAGGGTTTAAACATCGCGAAGTGGAAATAGAAAGGGTCGGTCAAACTGCCAAAGATCGGCAGTTATTTATTTCTTTTGACGGCGCTCGGTTTTGATTCACTTCCCAGTGAGGTACTCCACCAAAAACCGGTCAAGCCCCACAACGACTCATGATCACCCTTAAGGGCAGAACACTGGCACACGGTTTTCTTTGGCTTCCCTCCAAGGACAAAAAAAGCATTGCAGCCGCTCGGGTCGAATGGGAGCAACCCGGTATGTGGGTCTCCTCTTACTCTGCAGGGGTCCACATTTGGATGCACAACCCACTCAGTAACTACGTTAATTGCCGGGGTGTATCCTCCGCATCCCCCGTGCATCCGCGGCATTCCTGGCATCTTGACCAACCCTTGACCAAAGCTCAACCAACCCTGAACCAAACCCACAACCACTCCACAGGTGGATAGAGCTGAGGGGCCAAGAACCTGGAACATATAAAGCCCTTATGCAGTGGCTCCAAGAGGTAAGCACTATGCAATCTTCATTCAGGAGCCTTCGGGAAAATGGACACGAGAAGTGGGAGCTCAAGTCCTCCCGTTTGTAAACAAAGACAAATCCAGTGTAGTGGTGTGTGGTTTTGGTTCGGCGCCGGGTCCCCGGGTTCTGAGTCAGGTACTCCAGCGCCGGGGACGGCATCTACGAGGGCGTCTTCGCGCTGCTTTTGTGCCGCGTGAGTTGCGGGCAGATGCTGCGGATGCTGCGGGCTGACAGCCGCACGGTGGAGCAGGCGCTGGGCTCCCAGGCGCATCGGGGAGGTGGGAACGGGGAGTCGGCTGGCTGAATGCGCATCCGGTTTATTGAGCCGTGGTTGATTTTGATGGCGGTCCAGTTTTGAGTAGAGGGAATGGGGTTGGGGGGGGAGGGTTAAGGTGGGAGGAACAACGGTTCCTTTGCTAAAACATGGTAAAACCAAATGGAGGTTGTTGGCCTGCTGAAGTAGATTCCTTTTTATGGCCCAAGAAGCTTCTGAACTGTGCCCTCGGAGTTGGCCTTTCGCAGGTGGTGTCTTCCGTGCTGGGGGACCGGGAGGCAGATTCGGGCCGGGGTCGGTTTCTGGTTTCGGCGGGTCGAATGGAAGTCACCGCAGCTGCAGTCACGGAGAAAGGCGTTAACGTGTGCAGTCCAAACCAGGGCAGCTGAAGCAGTCCCAATCACACACACACACACCAGGATTCCAGAATGTATGAGTCTTCTCCGTGCTTTGGGTAGACCACTTCAAAACCAGGTTTCCATAAGGCCCATACCCTCCCAAAAAGGTTCAAACCGAAGCCTTGCTTGGCTAAGGGAAGACACTCTCTAACCTGCAAGCCACCAATCCAAACCGCCAAGTTTCAGGAAGCTGCCAAAGGGGCTTCCCAGTTTCATGGTTAACTAGGCACAGGCAAAGCGGTTCCGCTAAGGCTTTTGGATGGCGTTTCGAAAGGAGACCCTGCGTCCGAATTCCATTTATTGTCTCCCATGTTGGCTATGGTGAAGACCACTCGGATGTTCGACCTACTTAGTAGGTTATAGCCATAGACATATATGTCGCCAACCCTTGTCGTCACACTCAAAACCAGGAGGACATAGCCTACTTTTCAACCTGAGCTTGAACATCCAGTATCTAGAAATCAGGTGCAGGACAGCCTTCAAGAAGTGAGAGCAAGCCCCAGGTGTGGGTATTTGGCTATCTTCCTGTAGAGTATCCGCTATGAAAGATTCTGGGGAACACATCACGATCCCCCTGCCCACTAGCAAGGGTCTCAGAACCCTTCCAAGAACCCCTCTGAAGGTTATAAGACTCTTTCCTGGGTTGTGGGGGGGCTTGGGTTGCTTCTGGGGGACCTCAACCCCACCCCCCCGTTCCAGCGTGACAAGTTACCAGGCCTCAGTCGGCACCTACCGCGAGTTCGTGGTCTTCGAAGCGGCGCAGATCTATCCCGAGTACGTGATGCTCTATGAGCGGGAGTACTGACGTCCTTCAAAAAGATTGCGCGCTGATTGCAGCGCGCAAACCCGATTTCTATTGGCCATGTTAGTGGGTGGTTAAACGCTGCCGAGTTTCATGTGGTTTATAGCGAGGGCGGCTCGTTTTTAGAGGCGTGTTCTTTTGAGGCTCGGTATGGTGTTGGGAAACCAAAGGGAACCCATCTATTTTGTGGGTCCACCTATTCTCGTTCACAAACCCATGTGGAACTATTTGTTGGTAGGTTGCTGCTTTCTGTAGTCATGGTTCAGGAGAGTTTATCACAAATTTGGGCCCCTCCAGATGGTTGGTTTCGCTTTGCCGTTTGCAGCCATCCAAAGAAGGAAGACCCTAAATTTGGGCAAATTGTAGTGAGCTCACAAGGTAAAACAAAGCTCATCCATGAGGTATTCCCGGTTTGTGAATAGTTTGTCCATGTGCCATCAAAGCCGAACGGCAGCAGGTAAGGAGACGGTCGCAACCAAAAGTGCGGCGGCCATGTTGAATGGCATTTTCGGACCTCGTCAATGCCAGGCCCCGTAGCCCCAGAACCCTAGCAAGCTTGTAAGACCTTTGTGCTGAGTGAGGCTATTTTTGTTACGCAAGCGACAATATATATATATATATATGCATGTATATATATATATATACATATATATGTATATATATATATATGTATACATATTTATTTATATCCACTTACGAACCGCCCTCTATCCAGGAGTTGGACACATGGCAATGATTGCTGGATGGACAACTTCGGGTTGTGTTGTGCATAGGCATATTGTAGGTATCTTGTCCATGGCATCTTACTCGGGCAGACCCACCCGAGGCTGCAGTTGGACAGCGAACACATGTTAGCTTCGGAATCAGGAAGACCATTACTCATCCCAGTTGTTGTCGCAAACTGAGTCGATCCCCCAGTTCAAGGGGGACCACTTCTCATGCGCATGCGCCTCCTTTTGATGAGTCTAAAGTTGACAATTGAAGCCTCTTGGCTCGACCTTTGCTCTCGACGCGCTCACTGCTGGCTTCAAGGGAACGGCTACCACCGAGCTTGGAGCCAGCTGGCCTTTAAGAGGCGGCGTGGTACAAAAGGAAGCGCGTTGCGTCCAGCTGACTCTCTGTCAGTCCGGCCTGGACGTGCCATCCAACCAACACATCCTGCCCTACGGAGACGGTGAGGGAAGGGGATGGGAGGGATGGTGAGCGCTCTCTTAGCCCAGAGCCCCTCACCCAGGGACCCCCAAAGCATCCAGTAAGGCTTTGGTTGTTCCCCCCACCCCCCCCAAAGGCCTCTTTGAGAGTCCATCTTGGGTTTCCATCACCACGGGGCATCATGGACCTGGACTCGCTGTTCCAACCGGCCGGTTTTGGACGTGATGTTTGAGAAGGTTGGGATTGAAAGCAGGGGTTGCTTGGCCTTGATGCATGTTTTGCTCTCCGCAGGTGGAGATCAGTGGCGTGAACATCGGGCGCATGATATTCAAGCACGGCCGGCCTGCTTGTCAGTGTGGGAGGGATTGTTCAATGGGGAACACCCTCCAATATGGTTGGTGGGGCATAACATCCCCACCAAAATGATGCTCCGGAAGCATTGCGGTCGTCCAAAACTTGGAAAAGCAAGCCCTTGCTGTTGGTGGATAGTTAAAGGATGCCTCAGAAACGGCCAAGGCTGTTGGTGTCTATCTTAGGCTACACCTGTTTTGACCCGCCTGAACCTCCGGTCCCCTCAAAGTGACTCTTGTCGTCAATGGGAATGAACCAAATGACATCAGGAGAGGAAACGGGACATTCCACAGGTCAAAACATCGAGTCACACCTTTCGGCCAGGCTCTATGACAACATCTGCCCCAAAACGGCGGAGAACTTCCGATGTCTCTGCAACGGCGAGCGAGGCGCGCGTCTTTGAGAAGCTTGGCTCCCGGCGGTGGGCAAGGGCGCCCCAAATGGTTCGGAGCTAGTGGCTGATTTTAGCATGGTTCATGGCTGACAGCAGGGGTTCACAGAAAGATTATGGGTATAAACTATTTTGAACATCCAAGTACTCCTCAGAGGGGATTGAGGTGATGCCCTTTGGACACGGCAGAACAAGTCAAAAGGTTTTGAAGCAAGGCGAGGTGCCAGCAAGATGAGCAGAGCGGGAAATGATTGGGCCGCGTTGCCACAAACGCATCGCAAATGCGCCAGCATGGGAGGTTTCCTTATTGAGGAAAGCAAGTTGTTGCATAAGTTGCTCAATGTGCTTCAAGGGTTGAGATTTGGGAGGCCATGGAAGCTGATAGTTAGGAGGCTAGTTTCGTTTTGGGTGTCCACTTCCATGATTGTTGGAAAGAGGGTCAACTATTATTCAGGTTATTCAGGGTGGCTTGTGGTTGGTCCCGGTGCTTCGCCTAAGGCTGTTCAATCCCTGAATCGTTGGTGGGTTTGTGGGGGACAGGGGCCTTTGAATCCGGGGTCCCTGCATTTCCCCCTTTTGGGTGGGGTGGAACAGGCTAGTTAACTGAAAGCCATTTCCCTTGAAATGCGGTGCCCATGGATTCCAGGAAACGAGGCAAAAGGAATCACTGGGGTGATGCTGCAGCTTTCTTCGTCCAACACTCCCCTCCACTGGTGCGGGAGGTGTCCATGGCATCCCCTTTATGTTGAATGGTGTCCATAAAAGGTTTGCTATAGTTTGGTATCCTTTTGTTACTTTTGTTCCCTGTTTTGAGGGTGCATGGTTGCCTGGGAGCAGCCAAAAATCATGTTATGCCGCCGCGAGTTGGCCAATGATAGGAGGAAAGGCCGAGTTGGCCAGCCACTCGTGTAAGCCTCGTGCGTGAGGCACTGGGCTCATCACCAAGATGCCGCTCAACTTCCAGGGCTCCAAGCCTTTCGCTCAGAGAGTCTTTTGCGCAGCGAGTGATCGCTCGCGCGTGAGCCGTTCGGCCCGGCTTCCCAAGAGAAGCTGGACGACTTAGAGCGAACATGCGGAGTACTCGTTAAAATGATTGGTGAGCCGTCATCAGAGAACAGAACTCATTCTTTCGGCCTTCTTTGCTCAATCTATCCCCAAGCGTTTGATTTATCTCCTAGTTTGGACAAAGGAGTTTAAGACGTAGCGGCATCTCATCCGCACTTGGCGACCTCGCTGATCGGATAGAATATGAAGATCCCTCAGGTGCAAAATTCGATTTGATGTTGTTGTTTTTTTGAGTGCAGATTGAACTGGATGTGCTTAGGTATTTTGATCGTTTGGGATCGGGCATTGGGTCACTTGCAATGTGGGTGACAGAAAAGCAAAGCCCCCCCGAACAGTATGAGGGGCCGGGGGCCCAACGAGAAAACCGCTAAAACGATTCAGGACTCAGATTTGGCTCCCTTCAATAGTCCATCACTATTCAATAGCATTGGTTTGGCATTTCTGTTTGCGTTTAGCATTGGCTTAGTACTGTTTAGTCTTGATTTGTGGTATTGGTTTAGTGTATTGCGTAGAATTGAGCAGAACTGTTCAGTATTGCTCTGAGTTCTTTAGTGTAGTTTAGTATCGGTCCTTCTCGGTCCACTTCGGTCCTACCCGGTCCTCTGTGTGGTATTGGTTTAACTGATCAGAGTTGCTTAATATTGCTTAGTATCGCTGTCGTACGCAGGAAAATCCTTGTTGCAACTATTGGATAATAGGGGCTCGGCTGCACTCCCCATTGAACGAAATGTTGGCCAGGCTCGAAGGCATAGATCGATCATTTGGTTTGGGGCACAGACTTGTTTCTGATTTTTCTGGATTTGGAAGTGGCAGAAGATGAAACTGGAAGGGTGGGCTTGAAAGAACAGGCTGACATTCTCAGTGGGCTACGCGCAGGTGGAGTCGCTTTTTTCACGTGAAAAAACAGTTCTCTATTGATTCAAGGTCCTTTTTCTGAGGAGTTGATATTTATTGAACACTTTTCTCCATTTGCTTCCCTGTGGAAAATCGGGTACTGACATTGCTCCTTTTCATGTTTGTTTCAAGACCAATCCCAATATTGGGTCCCGTTTTTTTGGGCACCTCCCCCGTTTCAGCTTGGTGAATCATAGTTACCCAGTTTCCAACAATCGTGGAAGGGCACCGCGTCCCGAATGGAAAGCTTTCGTCCTTCAAAGCCCTCGGCCCTCGGTCCTCAGCTTCCATGATTGGAGAGAGGGTGGGGCCTAAGAAGTTGGAAGGGGGTTAGGGGGGTACTGAAAAAAAACAAATTCAGTCGTGACCATAGGCTAGTCACCCGTCAGCTGTTTGTTCGTTGGCACCGGGTCGCCGGGTTACGGGCTAGCCGGGTCGGATCCCAGAAGCTTCGCGAGGTTCCATCGCGTCATCCCCGGCTTCATGGCGCAGGATTGCGAGCGATGAGCCGTCGGGCTTTTCCTTTCACCCCTGGTGAAGCAGAACTGGTTGACTTTGCTCTTGCTTAGTGTTTGTCTTTTTGTTAACATTGGCATCAACTCAATCCCCCTTTTGGTCTTTGACACTGTCCCGAAAATTGTTGTTTGCAGCGTGCTTGCGTTTGTTGGGTGAAGCTTTCTCTCAGTGGGATGACTGTTTTCCCTGTTTGTCAAGATACTTTTTCTCTTTGCATACGTACAAACACCCCTGGATCGTTTTTGGAAAGCCCGAAAACAGATTTCCACGTGGGTCACATTTCCTTGTTCTTCGGGGTGTCTTGGTTTCCGGTACTCAACCATGCTTGACGCAGCATTCAGTGCTCAAGCCCTTCGTTCTCCGAGATATCCAATCTGGCGGACCTCGCCAGAGGACCTGAGGACAGGGCTGCATTTCAAGTTTCCGCGCAGATTCCTGAGGCTTTCAGAAGGAAGGTCTTCCCAGACCGTCCTATCAGTCTAAGAGTGTGAGGGTTTAAAGGCTCAGCCAGTTGGGTTTGACTCAAACTAGGATTTAAAATGAGTTGCGGCCTTTTGGTTTTCCTTTAACACCGCCTTCCAACATTTAGTCTCAACAAATACACAAACAATTGTAGCTGCATCATGGGAACCCCCCTTCCCAAAGGTTCACAGGTCCAAGGTCGACAACTCCGGTCAAGTCAAAAGGTCAACTCTCAAAGGCCCTCGAGACAAATCGGCGCCTCCGTTTGAGGAGCCATGATGCGAACGGGCTACAAGATCCCCACGGAGGCAGATATCCAGAGCGAGCGGGCTTTGTACAACATCCTGGAGCCCAGGCGCGGCTGCCCCAAGACGGCTTTCGCTTTTGCTGTTTTGATGTTACATCATTCAACTTGTTTTACAGGGGAACCAAACGGACGCCATGGCGTTCCTTTTGGTGTTCCTTTTTTGGCTGGTTTAAGCAACAATCAACAGGACACCACCCATTTTGGAGTACGTGTGCCCGGATTAACACCTGGCAGTTGGCTTCCGGAGTAGTATATCACCGCTCTTTGGGCGTTCTTTGGATCCCACAGTCATGAAACCCAACAGAGTCACAGTCCAAACCTGCGTAGATGGGTAGATGAAGGTTAGTAGGGGATAGTTCCAAGCACAATAAGGTGCCGATATCCGCCCTTTTGATTATTTACATGGTTTTGGGTGACCTTTGTAGTACCAGATGTTGATCATGACTAAGGTGTCCTCCTTGCTGGGTCCCTTCAGGTGGCTGCGTTTTGAGGGGCCCATTCTCAAGTTTACTTTTGAGGGTAGGATGTCGTCCGAACCCGCTGCACAATGTACTCTATCCATTTCTCAAACCCTATTGTCCTGTCCTAGTAAAAGGCCGTGCCCGACATACTTGTATTGCTTGCGGTCAATAACTTGTACATCTTTGACCAGACACTGCCTTTACACAGCGCTCCAAGTTGACCTTGATTCATTATCCAGATTTGGATCCAGCGGCAGAAGAGACCCAACTCCGGGCCTGTTGGGCCCGATTGAGACCCTCACAAGCCAATGCCGGAACTCCCAGACCCCAAATAGTTTGCACGTCGCTGAACATTGACCGCGTTAGGCATGCTCTTGACCGGGTCTGCGCATTATTCGGCAGGCGTGTGTCCGCAGTTCGTAAGCCGCTGCTCTTGAGCAGTGTGCGTATCATGCAGTAGGCAAGTCTGGGCAGAGGAGGTGTTCTTGAGCAGGTGTGCTTATCCAATGTAGTCGGTAGAACGAATGCAACATTTGTTTAGCAAACCTCCACAGGGGAAACTCGCATGGAACACCATGGAAATCACGATAGACTACAAACCACATTGCAGGTTGCTACCAGTCCAACGTGGGCTTAGTTGAACATCCTGCGCACAAAACCGGGCCTCCCATTTGTCCACAAAACTAGGTACCCCTTTTGGATCCTGTTTGACGTTGAAGGTGCCTTGTTTGGGAAGCACCCAGGTAAACCTAAAATGAGAACCAAAGGTAGATATAGGGGCTCGGTTTTGTGGGTAATCGCTTTGATTTTCCTCCTTTCAGCAATCATGGAAGCTGGCATAAGAGCAAAGGGAAGAGTACCATCACCCTGAAACGGCCTCCAATCATCCGCTTCTGTGCTTGTTCGAGAAATCAGCCTGGAACCTCCAGCGCGTTCTATCACCCATTGCTTTCCGCACTCTACATGGAATCGGCTATCCTCATGTTTGGAGGAATCTCTACTCAGAGACCCTGTTTGGTGGCTTCCTTCTGCCAAGAAGCTAGCAGTTCATACCCGGGGTTCATATATGGACTCACACTTGCATTTATCAGGATGGAGCATGAGAAAGAGAATGGGCAACATACAAGCGGCTAAACAAGCGCACACAGTATTCTCTTACGATTATGACTTAGTTTGATTCCAAAGTACCGCACACCCCCAATCCAAGCATTTAGGCCCTTACATATAGCATGAGGGGCTTCTTGTTTTGACAGCCCAAGCACAATTATGAGAGGCAGACATGTGCCATTTTGTGTGTTCCATGGCGGAGAGCATGTTGGGGGGGGGGGGGGGAGTTTTCGTGAATGGACCCCACATTTAATGCCTCTTGCCTTCCAGTTTTGAGTGGCACTTGTTTTGAGCGTTCTTTTATTTTGATCTAATATGTGTATATACATCTACACATACATATGTATACAGATGTATGTAACAAGTGAACATCTTATATACACATATATATATGTATATATATATATATATGTATATACACGTCGAAACAAGGTGGCATGTGTGTTTACGGCGACCCTTTGGTGGACATCAGTTCTAAGTCTAGCCGCGCCCTGCCCATTCTCTTCGGGGATCCTTCTCTTCAGAACGTGGGCGAAAGGTTGGAACAAAGGTGCTTCTCTCAAGAGAACGAAAGGCGAAGAGGCGGGGGAGCCAACCCTTGCCTCTCAAGTGTGTTTAAATCAAAAGGTAGGCTTTACCAATTATGGATCATGTACAAAGCAAACTTACAAAGCTGACCAAATTGTTGACCATTTGATGACCACTTGACCACTCATTATTTAAGCTGCAATTTGATGTCTGACTAGTTTCCTTAAGATTCAGTTCATGCGAGATGCCCTCTCGAAGGTACCACCACTTGGTGCCCGAGTGGATGAAGACTGCCACGGATGCGGAGAAGCAAGGCGTCATCAAGCTGGCAAGGCATGCGAGCGTGGGAAAAGGGGGGGCATGCTGATGAGCCAAGGATGTGTTCATGCTTGAGAGGATCCAAACAAACTTCATTCGTATGGGTGTGTCTTGATGGAGCTATCGGGTCGAAAACCGCCAGTGCAAAAGCCTACGCTTTGCACCTGCAAGCAAGCGATCCCGTCCAACACATGGTCAGCACCCCCCGCCCACGTGATCCCGCCATATCCCGCCCATCACATGTTTTGATCATGGCATGACTGGCATGTTGTTCACGACCTACTGGTTCGCTTTTTCTTGTTGGCTAGTCGGCTCCAAAGAAGCGAGACATTTGGGTGTCCAGCAACGCGTGTTCTTGCATCACTGAACATGGTTGCGGCGAAAAGTTGAAAAGTTGGGAATGCTCACGCAAGCCAGTGCCGCGCAGCATTGAAAGGTTTCAAAGAAAGCCACAACAAAAATATAACGAAGCCGAGCCCAGGCCTGCCAATGTTTTCAATAATGGTGGCACGGAAACTACCGTGCGCAGGAAGCCCCTTTTTTTCTGTTGAAAATGCGTGAAAACGCAAGGTGGACACAAATTCCGTACAAGATAGAACCACTCGGCGGAGTCTTTGAGGAGATTTGTTTGGTGATTTTGAAGGGCAACCAAAAGGAACGCAACGCCACAATTTTTGGGGGGTCCCCTAAAAAAGACAGATGGATGAGCGTCAATACAGCAAGGAAGGGAAGGAAGGGTTGAACAACTAGGGGTGGTTTGCAAAATTGTTGGTTTTTCAGGAGGGAGCATGACTACTATGCCAAGAGATGGCTATCAGTCAGTTTGGGATGCTGAATGCAGGTGTTTGAACTAAAGGAAGTAACAAGATCCACAAACACAAGGTAGCTCAAAATAACCGCGCTGTAATGCTGGCAAGTTTCTGAAGAGTTACAACACTGCCACGGCGTGTCAGGAATGATATGGTGTTTGAACGCACAGTTCATCATGTCATCGTGAGCTGAGCCACATTCAATACTAGGGCGGGGACAGTGCCAACCATAATAGATGCGGTTCTTCAACTTCTTGAACGCTGACATGCTTTTGGCGCACTCGTAGCACTTGCTGTCCTGTTGATAGCTTGAACAGAGACACAGCACCTCTGTAGAATAGGGACCCCCCTTTTGGATGGTTGTAAGGGGAGACCAAAAGAGAACCAAGAAAGGGTAGACCCCTTTGATCTATCCTGGGCGAGCGTCACTCTGGACAAATAACAACCAGCTCATCTGCGAGTGAAACGAGCTCACCCATGCAGGGAAGCTACTGTTGGTGCCCTTTTTTGTGGGACTTGTAGCGTGCCCAGAAGGTTCAGGAGCTGAGCTTGGGTTTGTCGCCAGGATTTCCGAGCCCAAGTTGCTGAAGACCATTGGCCGGCCAAGGCGCAAGCACCTTCCTTTTTTCCTTTGGAAAGCATTGTCCTTATTGTTTGCCATAATCAACGTCGCTCTTTTTAGCGGGCGAAAAGGAAGCAACACCAGTTTATGACTTTGACCATCCCCAGACACCATCAGGAAAAACGATAGGCGGGCGTGGTGTCAAAAGCTGGGATTTTGTTTGAAAACTCAAAGGAAGTGGGTCTCTGTCCCCTCCAATCATGTGCTCCGGACATATTTTGGATTTTGAGGTTGAGTACATGCAGGGGGTCCCATTTTTCCGCTTTCAAGCCAGTTGAACTACTCTCAGCATTTATTTTTATGGACCCAGAGGGGGCCAAGGTTTGTGCGATCCTCTTTGAGGGCAGTTTGCCAAGTCTTCCGGTTCGTAATGCACCGATGGACTGATGGGTGCGATCCTCTTTAGATCCAGTTTTCAAAAGGATCCATCAGGAACTACTCACAACTTAATAGGGACTCCTAGTTTTGGCGCACAGCCAGATCATCAGATTCAAGGGTTCCGAGGCAGTACTCTTATTGCCGTACCCCAAATCCTGTGCCGACATACCACCCATTCGGCCCTTCTGTGAGACGAACTCCAAAAGACCCTCATCTTCAGAGCCGTACAACCTGGGTTCCTCACATTTCCAGGCTTTGCCTTTCTTTAACTGTTTGCCCTTTTGGTTTTCCTGCATTATCGCTTCCCCCAGCAAGTTGGCTTGCAGGTTTTCGGATCCGTCTGGCAAGACCGGTTTCTTTGCGACCAGGATGGACAGCTTTGAGCCCACCCTGAAGGAGCATGCCTGGTATCACAAGAGAGGCGGGGCAACAAGAGGAAATTGCACCGCGGCCCGTTCGCCTCATGCAGCTTGGGATGGCTTGCAAGGCAAAGCGGACTCGCCGAATCGGATCTGCAAAACTGCCAAACAAACAAAAGCCTGAATTAACTAAGAGCCCCCGCTTATATAGCAAGGATCCTTCGCTCAGGGTGAGCTCGTTTCAGCCCCAGTGCGTGAAGGCATGGAATCTTGCAGCTTCTGAGTGTACAGTGCCCGTACCGCCGGGTTGTCCTTTTGAGACGATCTTGGGAAAATATGACCAAATGAGAAGCAATGCATTTGCCCCCTGGATGAGAGTGGTTTTCAGGCTCCCTATGATTCCGAATTTCGCGTGTGGGTGCTCGTTCTGCCTAACGACTAAATCCCTTTTCTTGGTGTGCAGGTGTCCGCCTGGAGGAAACGAAACCCGGACTTGTCTCATCCAAAGACCTTGCTGGGAGCCACTTTCTTGCGAACTGCCGGGATGTTTGCGAAAAATAATGCATGCCTGTTCAAATGCTTGGCTGTCTTCTGAGTTTCGCTCAACCTCAAACCTGAACCCAGCTGCTTGGTGGCACCACGCGTGCTCTTCTGTGTGCTGATTCCGAAACCTCTGAAGATTGAATCAGCCCCACAAAGAAATGGTTGCAAACAGTTCCAACCCAGGCATGAAATGGTTCCTTCTTTCTACCGATCGGGTCACTGGTTGCAACTCAGGTTCGGCCAAACTTTCTAGCAGAGGGACATGCATGACTCACTAAATTTCCCACAAACACCGGGAGACTCATCAACTGTCACACGTCCTCTTGGGGAAACAAGTAGTATTATGGCTTGCGGGCCTGTCTTTTCAGAAAAGCATCAGCTGGTGGTGCAGTTGGTGTAGAGGGACACAGAGGGAAGCCGCTCACTTGGGCTCAACTGGGCTCTGGGTTTGGCCAGGGCTTTCCCTTCGTAGCGAACTACTCGCGCGAGGCAACCCAGCGCTGCGGCCGCGTGTAGACACCATCGAGAAGTTCCCCATGGATCCTGCAGAGTACCAGGCGGGTTTCTGTTGTGTGAGCCTCGCAAGCCGCTACCCTGCGTATTTTTTTTGAACCAACAGGCAAGCCATTCATTTTGGAGGTCCCCCGATTTCTACACATAACCAGGTGACATCACCTACACCACAACGTTATGCATACCTGTTTGTGTTGAAGATGTTTGAAGGCGCTTTCGCATTTTCAACATCTTGCTTCGATCATGCTTCTTTGCGAACATCTTTGCGGGCCATTCTTTTGTTGAACCATCTTTTATTGTCAATTGCTTTACATCCTTTCTCCCTTCCTCCTACTTGTGGTAGCTTTCATTGTCGACTGACAAGTGGCACCATATTGTCGATCAGAAACAAGATGCCGCATTGCATGTGAGCTGCAAAATTAGGGGCCCTTTTTGTTGGTATCCCCTTTAAATGACGGCACAACGCGGCATATGTTTTTACAACTCCCCATGAGACCCACTAAGAACCACAGCAGGTGGTCGAACACCGGTCCGATTGTCAGGGAGGCTTGCCGACAGCGGAGCATTCCACGGTCCACGGAATGGCCTCTGACTTCCAATTTGCAGGTTGACGAAACATGAACCGGAATCCGAGCAACTATTCGGTGTAGCCTTGACCCATTGGCCCAAGCAAAAATGGATCCCTTAACCCTTCCCAGTCCCTTAACCATCCCCAACCTCCCAAAGCCCCAAACCCGGACACGTCCCCTCCGCGGAATTCGCGCAGGTGCCGTCCTGGCTGAACGAGGACCTCTACGAGGCGGAGCAGATCCCGAAGCCTGGGGGCTGCATCCTGAAGCTGAAGGCGCGGTTTCTTCGAATTTCTTCGATTTGTCTTAGCTTTTGGGGTTGCCTACCTTATCAAAAAAAGCGGTTTGGCATAAGCCATAGGACCGTAAGCCATGCGGACGATGAGCACTGCTAGTACCGAATCACGTACCGGTTTTCGTGGGCATGGCATTGAGCAATGGACGCTGAATGATCAACATTCGCCACTCGGAAGGTAAACTTAATCAGTAAATAGGTAAGATAGCCGTGATGCAATTCTCTGTCCACCACCCCTTGTTGTCCGACTTATAACTACGGTATAAGCCACGCACTATGTAGGTTGAGCATTGAAACGGCTTTCCCTTCTCGGAGAGAGTGGGATGCCCTGCAGCCATCCATTCCTTGATTCGGGACTGCAACTGCACTCCAAACAACAACCACGGCTTGGTGCAGAACATTCCCCCTTCGACTGCCTTCCCTTTAGAAAGGGTTAATCTGAATGCCGATGATGTTCGCGGGAGGGTATTTCGTCTGCAGGACAGCATCAACATCATGCGCCTCGTTTGCATTTAGGGGGCTGAAGTAAGGGGGGGCGGCAAGGTGACCATCAGGCGCGCCCGGAAAAGGGGACTCTGCGAGCATGCGACATGGGCCAAGGAGCAGAAGAGGTTGGTGAATATTCAGGACCGCTGTGACATTTCCAAGCTTGACTATCCTTTTGCCCCTTTGTGTTTTCTTCATTTCGGCTTTCAACCAGCAAAACTTCATTTTTTGCAGAGGGTCGAAGCCGGCAAACTGTGAGAGTGATCAAAGTTCCATGACTTTGCAAAAGAGCCGCACTGGAGACGTTTGCACCTTTCACCATGTTCTTGGAGCATTTCCACTGCCCCCAGACCACTACCTCCAGAAAAAAACAGGTGTTTTTCCCAGGTAGTGGTTTTCTTTTCAAGGGAAAACACTGGTCTGGGACTTCGGGGTTCTGAAGTCCTGACTCAAATCGGTCAAAACGCAAGCCCTTGAAGGGCCTCCCCGGTGTTTGTCCCTCGGCAAGGGTCAAAGCCAATTGGCTGGGGCGCAGAAGGTTCGATTTCGTGAGAACCCGGTTGATTTTGTGTTTTCTTTCGGTTGAAATCAGCCATGAGCCACTCAATCAGCTCTGGTCAAGGGACACTTTCCCCGTTTGTCCTGGCCTGTGCCAGCCATCACACGCACAAGCAAGCTGTTTGGCCACGCAGCTTGGGGAGCATTGCAAAGAACTGAGTTCGAAGTTCGATGGGCACCTTGGAAGGATGAGACGGCTTTCAGCTTCAAGTTTAAGGTTATTGCGACGATCGATTTCATTGACGAGCTCGAATTCATCTTTCAAGTGTTTGACTCCCTTGATAGTTCTGCAACAATTGTGGTGAACTTACTTGAGATTAACACGAGCTTGTCAGGATGGGTCCTTTACCTGGGGATAAGTTGTTTCAGGTTTGGGAGGTAGAGTAATAATTGCAGATAGTTTCAAAAGAGCAACCAACCCATGTCTTGAAGATCCTTTGTGGGGCCTGTCGATAGGTTGTGGGGACAACTTCCTTACCTGCCATCCAAAGCGGGATCCCATCCTATTTGGATTGAGCCGAGGGCGGCTTTCGCCATTTTGGTTGAACGGACATTCACAAACTTATTTAATGGCCTGCGGCCGCCGCCCCCACACACGTTAGAATTTCGGCCCGGGGCGAGAGAAAGCACGCGTGCACAGACCCATTCGCGGACACGAAGACAGACGCAGATACGTAGACAGACACAGAGAGAGACAGACAGACACGCAGGGGGGGGGGGAGGGTCTTCGCGGACACGAAGACAGACGCACATTTGCCCGGGGAGAGAGAAAGCGCGCGTGCACAGACCCGTTTTGCGGACACGAAGACAGACGCAGATACGTAGACAGACACAGACAGACACAAAGAGAGAGAGAGAGAGAGAGAGAGAGAGAGAGAGAGACACGTAAGGGGGGGGAGGGTCTTCGCGGACAGGAAGACAGACGCAGATACGTAGACAGACACAGACAGACGCAGATACGTAGACAGACGCAGACAGACGCAAAGAGACACAGACAGACACGCGGGGCGCAGACAGACGCAGATACGTAGACAGACACAGACAGACGCAGACACAGACAGACGCAGATACGTAGACAGACGCAGACAGACGCAGACAGACGCAGACAGACGCAGACAGACGCAGACAGACGCAGACAGACGCAGACAGACGCAGATACGTAGACAGACACAGACAGACGCAAACAGACACAGACAGAAGCACGGGGCGCGGACACGAAGACAGACGCAGATACGTAGGCAGACGCAGACAGACGCAAACAGACACAGTCAGAAGCGCGGGCGAGGGTGGGGGGGGGAGGGGGGGAAAACCAGAGATCCAGACATCCATTCAGAGATCCAGAGATCCAGACATCCAGACATCCAGACATCCACAGATCCAGAAATCCAGAGATCCAGAGATCCAGAAATCCAGAACGGCGGATTTAGAGCCATGGTAGGGGGATTGCAGCCTGCAGTTTCCCTAGAGCCCAAGGACCATCACCCTTCCCATGGCCCGCCTTGCAAGATTGGCTTGGAGCTGACGCCTTTAATTCCAAGTTTTCAGCTTTTAGGGATCCTGGGAACATTGCTCTGAGCGTCTCCTCCAAAACCCGGTAAGCAAAACTTTTGAGATGCAAAAAGTTAAGACTTGGTTGTTTCCCTAAATTTGGAGGAGACGGTCAGTACTGAACATGGTTGTGGATGGTTTGGCTACTAAATCGCCTGCAATTCGCAATTTGCCAACAGCAACTGATTGACATTTTCGAGACTCCCTATTTTGCACCCAGCTTTGGATGCAACGCTGCGAAAGCTTCGAATCGAAGGCGCCAGAAGAATTGGACGAGGAACCAGGGCACCTATCAGATGTTCAGCGGTTCCTTCGATGGCACAACCACCACGGGATCCTGCCATGGCCTCAGCTTAAGTGCTATCCAAGTTGGACGAAATCCAGTGCAGGATGTTGCTCATCCACAGTAGTTCCCTTGGTGGTTTCTGGAAAATCTGTCAGCATTCATTACAACGCACTGTAGTTAGTGGAGGCATCTTGTCCGTAGCTCAAACCACAAAGGCAGTTTGACGCACGACAGAGAATTTCTATCATCGCTTCTGAATGCATTTCGCGCGGGACATGGCACAGGTCAGCCATAGTTGATGGTTTAATCCGTGGGCTTGGGATTTGACACCCTGGCTCTTATCGCGGAATGGAAAGACCCTCCGCCGATCACCTCCAAACCTCCAATCCCAAATCACCAACCCAGACCTCTAGTGGTACGATTTCTTCCCCCATCTCTGGAGAGGGGGTCCTTTTTCAGACCAACTGTCAAAAGAAACAACTGGTGCCCTTGTGTCCCCCCTTTTTCTGGAGGGATTCTCTTTAAAACCAACTAGAGTACTCCTAAAGTGGTACTTATTTGGAGATAAATCCCGTTAGGCGGAGGCATGGCACTCAGGTTACACGTTGGATGCCATCGACCTTGCCTCGCCGAGCAAGTGATCGCCCGCGCAAGGCAGGTTGGATTAAACAGGTGAGCGGCGCCCAAAACCCCATTGGCATGTTTGGCGTTCTACTCGTTGGTTTGGGTTGCATAGTAAGGGTTGTATCGACCTTGATAGCGATTTTGGTAGAGCTCAGGTTGGATCAAGAAAGGTTCTTGCTGGGGAAACGAGACCGAGGGTCCAACCTTTTGCCATGGGTTCATGGACGTAGCCAGCCTTTGGGTTGTCCCGCAAATCAAATGACCAGATCCCAATAGACATGCGGCACTAACATGACACCCAAGCAGGGATTTCCCCCCAAACAATCTCTGTGATGGTTTTTTGTGTTTCGTCTTAATTTGGAGGGCAGTACCCCACAAATGGGAGTGTCTTTTTGATTCAACCCACTTTCTGTTGGTTTCAATTGCAAGCCAAAACAAAGCTGGCCATTCCTTTGTGGCCCAATTTTAAGACAATACCCGTGTGCGCAACTCTCCTCAATGTCTTGACAGGCTTCCCTCAGCCGCACCAACGTTTCTGAGCACTGGCGCCGCGGAAATCATGGCGTTTCACGTGTCTCACTGGTACCGGGCTCCGCATGCTGAAGCATCGGGGCTCGGGTTTCTCTCTTTGGCGGGCGCCTGTGCCATCGGCACATGGGGTTGTCGCAAAATGTCATAAACACTTTAAGGTTTCCTCTGGCTTCTCGGAAACAAGACTGCTCCTAGGCCAGAGCAACGCAGGTCGACTTGGGACAGGCGCCTTGGGTGTGTCACTGGTAGCTGCGAGCACTTCGAAACAGCTTCGAGGCAGCCAAAAGCGGCGCGAGGGTTCGGTAGCCTCTTGCTCTGGCACACGCATCGGGTCTGTGGTCGTGCCAGCTGAACGTATACGTTTGACCGTGTCGAGGAGCAAAAGGTGGAGTTTTTACACTTTCTTCGGTGGGAACACTTATTGAGACTTTGGGAACTTTCAGAAATTAATTGGCCTTGCTGCCCGGAAAACAAAGCGCTTTTTCTCGCCTGGGAGTACAAATTCAACGCCAGGATTGGGCAAAAGCAACTGAAAGAGCCAGCCCCCTGGTCCCCTTAAAGGGAAGCCACAGGGAGGTTGCTTGAGCTGCAGTTAATCAAACATGTTTAACTTAGCGGTTATTGTGGAGGTTGGATACCTTTGGACTCCTTGGTATTTGGGGGAGGGGGTGCGCCACATTTGGGGAGGGGGTGGGCACCCGGGAGGGGTGGCAACCCATTAAAGGGTCGAGCAAATCACAAGAGAACATTGGTCAACGGTTTCCTCTGGAAACCTGTGCCGATTGGGGCCTTGGGTCTTTGGGTGTTTGTAGCAGCCCTGAAAGTGGTGCCGAAACCGAGCCTGCCCCAAAACAAGTTGGCGGTAGCCTTCCCATTCAGGGATCCTTTGGGCCCTTTATTTGTGACAACCCATTTCCTTGAACAGGTTGGTTGACCTGTACTGGGATCTCTTTTGAACATATGCTTGCGAATTTCGACACTATATGTGTTTGAGGGGCAACTTTCTTGCAACCTGAAGACACATGGAGCTCAAAAGGCGGGGTCCCCCAACAGGAGAGTCCTGTAAAAACGGGCTTCTACGGTATGGGTACCTTGTGGCCTTCCAGAAGCAAAGCAGCTCCGCCACCGATGCCACAGGGTGGTGACTTTGAGCTGGGCGACGGCCGCGGCGGCGAGGCGCAAGCGGAGTGAGGGATGTGGGAGGTGATTTCGCCCACGGAGCAACGAAGAAAGCAACCAAGGAAATCAAACCAAATCTGACACCCAACCAAACGAAACGAAGCGAAACGAAACCAACCCAAGGAACCAAGTCCAATACGTTACGTGTTGCTTGCTTCAATGAGGCGCCCCCAATACCTGACGGGCTACAGAACTATTGGCATGCTGCTCGTGTGATCAGGACTCAAGTTTGTTTCAAAAGTACCAACCCAAGTCTCTTTATTTAGACCGTAGGATTATTCGAGTATCTGATTTCAAACAAGTTGGGTACATGCGCCATCGCTTCAGGATGTTTCACATTTCCAAAAAGGACAATACCTTTCTTACCATTTTACAAACAGGTCGGTACATATCCTGCAATTTCCGGGTAGGTACAACTCGAACAAAGGTGAGTAGGCTGTATTTGTTTCCAATCAGAGTACACGTTGAGCGAAGCAAAGGTTAGATAAGGTTAGGATGTCCAAAGCCAAACGGCTGCAAGTAGGTGAGCCAGCCAACCCGTTGTCATGCGCTTTTTATGGCTATACCCTCAGACCTCAGAGGCGTTCCCTTTCAAGACGCGGCCTTGCTTGACAAATGCATCCTTTCATAGAGGTGTGGTTTCCTCGGGGATCCGTGTTACACAGAAGGGGGTTCAGCAAAGGGACCTGGTTGATTCATTGGGAGGGGTTGCCACATTTAAGAGGGGATCCTTCACTTTGGAGTTGCCTATCAACATGGCCAAGTGCAATTGGGCTCAACAACATTAGACTTTCTTTCCTCGATGTCCACGTTTGCAAATCCGAAAGCGGCACTACATCATTGCCACCCACGAGTACATTTGGACCATTTTTTGGAGAAATCCAGTGACCCCCCTGGGGAATCGCCTGCCAGAGGGAATCGCCTACCAGAGGGACCCACCTGCACGTATCTTGTTTACCTGTGCCCTCGTGAACATTTTGGGGTCTTCGACCCTAAACACTCAAGGGCTTCCGTGAAAAGTCCACGGGGTTGCGAGCCGTTCACAAGGGTGGAACAATTGGAAAACGGGTTCCTTGGGTTTCCCGTTACGAGTGCCACATGTCTGCACTTGTGCTAGTAGCGGCAAGGCTCTTCGGATCAACCCTGTTCTACAAATGGATTCCCGCTTTTGGTAACAAACGGTACTGCCTGGGTCCTCACAGGAGCAGTTTCCGACGCTCTGGGAATATGGGTTCCTATGGAGGAGGAAAAGAAAAGGAACCAATCCTTGTGTCACCTCCAGGAACCCCATGGGCGACTCATGGCTGGTGATTGGAAATCAAGGAAAGTGGTCCCGCTATGGGATGTAAGCTCCAGCTAGTGGCACGCCGATTTGACTGCAAAAAGGAGTTTGAGTCGGACATGTTTGAACTATTCCGGCCATTCTTTGAGCTGTTTGGGTACGACCATGATACGACCATGATGAAATTGCACTTAACTGCCAGGGGTAAATCAAAGTAATGGCCTGACTTGGAATATAGTTGCTCTTCTTGACCGCCGAGCGCATGCATGCGTTGCCGACGCAGTCTATCTACGGAGGCAAGTTCAATGATGAGGCGGGCCGACCAGGACTTTTTGGCTTTCGAGCCACACTTCAAAGCCAGAATTGTGGGAAATGGGGGGTCAGGCTCTACAGTTTCAAAGTAGTCAATATGTCCATCCCCATATACTATAATCACAGATTTCGAGATATTTCCCACAACCACGATCAAAACTCGAGTAGTTGAGGGTTAGAGGGGCACTTTGCCCTTGTGCGGCAAAGACGCACCCTGTGTTTTTGTTTTTTTAACGGGTTTTTGGTGGACTGTAGACCCCTTAAGTATCAGATTTTGATTGTGTCTCTTTTGACTCCATTTTGAGTCAATAAAGGGACCAATGGGCGTCCCTCGTTTTTCACCCACAAAAGGGAATGGCGACATGTTTCTGAGAAGCCAATGCGGAACCTGGAGTTCAACACAATCCTGGAGTTTGCTAAGTGGCCAGTAACCTGGGAGCAGCCCTGTTCGATCCCCAATGAGCCCCACTGTGAGCCCTTGCAACTAGGAGTGCGATTTAGCAAACTCGATAACCAGCCAAGTGGGTGACTGGAGTCGTGGGAAAACTCCGTTGCTTTGGGGTTTACATCACATCCTCGTCCTGGATGGTCTGAGCTGGCGCAGTGGATGTGTGACTCAGAGACGAAACCTATAGAGTAATTATCGTATTGTGGTGTGCTAAAATTGTTATTGAATATATATATATATATATATGTTGGTTGCATTCTGATGTTGGGTGTGTCCATGAGATAGAAACAGGACACACAAAGAAGAATCCCAAGAAATGCAACCATAGAAAGACATAGACATAGAAAGATAAATTGACTGGAGAAATAGATTACACATAAGATCCAATCAGTATTTACTTGTTCCTTTGGCTCACTCGTAAAATCTCTAAATTTGGGTTCTTGGACGAGCCATCAGAATTAACTTAGAACCTAAAGTAAAATGTAATTTACCAGTTATCAAGATGAATAAGTAGAAATCCAGACTTCCATCCCTGTCATCTTCTTTTAATACCTACTTTTGGATGGATTGTTCATTCATCATTTAATTTCTGAGATTCAGCTGATATTGAGAATCTTGTTTTCACGGATCTTATCTTTACCATCATGTCGTTTTAGTTTTAACTTACTGTGTCACAAAGATTTGGAAACACGTAAAGACAAGAAAGGATGCTTGTGATGTACGGTTGGTTTCCTTTTGCTCCTGGTGTTTAAGGGTTGATTTCTGGTTGGTTTTACTGGCTCACCCCCTTCCATTTTGACCACCATTCATCGCCATATCCCAGACCCTTCCTTCCATCACTGATCACCAAACGAGGAGGGTCCAACCAATCTTGTCACAACCCCATATTAAGTTCGGTCATGGGGTGCTAGTGTCGTTCTGATCAATCCCCTTGCAACCAGTGCCCAGTGAAGACTTAGTTCGATGTTGCCTCAAGTCATTCGTTCGGATTCCATTTTGTATGCCCTGGCAATCGGCAGCTCCTGGGACCCAATAGGAGTTTCTCTAAAGGCGTAGGAGCCTCCGCATGTGCGATGGTCAAGCAACCCTTTACTTTGTTGGTAGCGCGGATGGTCAGGCCAGAGGTTTTAGACAACCAATGTTAGGGTTCCTATTCAGGGAGCCGGAGAAAGGAGTTTGGACCATGGCACAGAGGCTAACGGAAGGCAACCCAAATTCCGGGGGGGGGGCGGCGTCATGGATGATCCACGACGATGGATGAGCAGTCGAGGGGTTTGAGTGGATGTGAAGGTTTAAATATTGGCCAACTGCCGCATCCGCGACTAATGGTTATCTCTTAGGGCCCACTCGAAACTGTTCGGAATGGGCAAACCGGGGACACCACTTTGGAAAGAATATTCTTGGGCCATTTCTCCACGGGTTTCGGCCCGGGTTCCTGAGGCAGGTGGTCTGGCGCTGCGCCATGCGAAGAGGCTGAGTTTGGAATCTAGGGTCTTCACCTGGGGATCTAGAGATCTATTTAAGGCCTTTGTTAGTCGTTCTTTGTTCTTTTTTCGAGATCTCTGGGCAAATTGGTGGTGAAAGAGTGGACTGCTTTTGGTTCAATTGGTGGAATCCGCCGGTCTCGACTGGATTTCACGGTTGACGTTCTCGTTCTTGGTGTAGCCTTGGGCCAAGGGATAGTGAACTGGGGGCGAAGAAAAGAGCTAAACCAAAAATGGGGGCCGGGGGGGGGGGGGGGCGCGGGGGAAGGACCCACTTTTTCAGTGGGTGATGAATCTGAGGGTCTTATGCTTGTTCAACACCGCCCACAAGTATGGTAACGAGCTGGTTCTTTGAAAAACCCAAGTAGGGGAAGAGGGCCCACTTGCTTGTTTGGTGCTTAACGGGAAGCACTCACCAAGTGTTCCCTGTGGACAATTGGCTGCCCTTGAACAAGGCATGGCAATTTTGTCACTGTGGCAAAAAAGTGGGGACACATAGGGTTCAAGTTTGATTTCTTGATAGTCAGAAGTCTGCAGTTGCTTTCAGCTAGCTACTAATCGGCCAGAGTCGCACAAATCCTTTCATTATTTTTGGTTCGGGTAAAAGCTGAGACAATTGTGTGACACCACTCCTGCTGTCCACGCCTCACATGTGCGTGCCTAGCCAAAAGGAGGGCACTTGGTCAAACTGATGAATTGGCCTTTTTCAGGGGACACCCTACCGCCCCTTCAAAGACCCCGAGCGAAAAGAGGCTTGATAAGGCTTCGGTTGGGGGGAGGGGATTGGGGGTCACTCACTTTTCATGGCAAAACAACATGCACATGAAAGCAATGTGCGATGAAGGGCATGTTATTATGCAAGTGTCTATATAACCTCCAGCCTCATACTTTCCTTGAAGGAGGACATCAACCAACCGATGAGTCTCCCAACGCGCCAAACATGTCCAATTAAAAGTTCCAAAGGGTCCGGTTTCCTGCACATTGGCGAATCATCAGCAGTGCAGTTGCCCCAGGGGTCTGCTGAGTATGGCGAACAGTGGTCGAGTGCGGCTCCCAAGGCGACATGTGTGGCATGGTTCGAAACCTGAAAACGATTGACAGCCCCTGGACCTCATATGGTTTATGGTTTGGCGAAATGAAATGGACATTTCCTGAGTTCAGCGGAAATTCCATGAGAAAAAACGGGCACCTTTGTTGGTAGTTTATCTTCAAGGGAAGCCCTCACCAAGATCCAGAAGGAGGATACCATCTCCAAAAAAAGCATGGAACCGGCTCCCAATTCCAATTACCCACTTGGATAGTGCGAGAGTAGAGTAAGCTCAATGGCTCGCAATCCTCGCTACAAGGGCTTACAGGTGGGCAGATTGGCGGGTTGAATGGGGCTTCACCAGTACCAGAAAGCCGGCGCCAAGCGATTTCTCTTAGTTTTGTTTTTCTCAGCAAAGAGCCCCCTCTCCTTTGTTTGGCTGGCTTGGTGAGGGGAGGGGTAAACGGCGAAACATATTAAACTAGGATCTCGTTTGAGCTGCGTTTGTAATTTCGGATTTGCAAAATATGGCTCCCAGAATCAAATGAATAAGGTTTGGGGTTTGGGGGCGAAAGCTCAGAATCTGCTTGGAGAAAACGGGTAAACGTACCCTTTTCAGGGGTTTCACTGCCTGTTTTGCGGCGAGCTCGCCTGTTGCTTGGAGGTCCAATTCTTAGTTCAGGCTTTGGACCTGTTGCAGAATTTGCAATTTGCCATGTTCCTAGCGCAGGTAAGCAGTACTCAGGGAGTTTCCTCGCTGAGGACACCAACGGCTCCCAGTTCTTCATCCTCTTCAAGCCGGCTCACCACCTCAACGGCGCGATTGCCCAGCCTCCGGAGACTTTGCGGGGTTTGCGATGGGTCGACCGTCAGCCCCTGGCACCCTTCGGGAATCCAAAAGGACATTGTGTACACAAGGGTTCAATCCTCTTTGAATAGACCGGGTTTCAACAGTGGCCCCCTGGCCTATGGGAACAGGTGGAAGAGAAAGAACATGCTGGCATGTGCTCAAAATGAGCAAATGAGCAGAACATGGATGGCCGATTTTGTTACAAACAGGATCAAACAAGTAAATGAGCAAAGCACATTTGCAAGCGCCATAACATGTAGGCGCAATCAAAGAAATTTGGTTTTCACAATCGGGGAGCTCCTCGTGAACGCAGCGATGGGCGATCGGGCGGGTCTTCCTGATCCAGGAATAACGGAAGCATTAAAGTAAATCATTGTGCCATTTGAAGGGCTTTCCATCTGAAATGCTGCTTGCTAGGATGGACATTATTTTGACCAGGGTCAGTAGATTCAAGATCCCTGCTTGATGAATAAGGGGTATCCCTTTTTTATACCTGAATCCTTAACTTTTTGGGACCCCCCCTCCCCCGGTGTAAATCCACCAGCTTGCCCCCAGTGGTGCCCCTTACTTCTCTTTTCTCTTGAGGTAGTTTCCCGTTGAAAACAACCAATCGGTGCCCTTTTTTCCCATTGCCCATGACACCGAGCTTCACTGCCAGGGAAGCATTGCGTCTTCGGCGAACTTGTGGAGGGGCAAGCTACCTTGGACCGATGGGTTGAATTGGCACGCGCTGTTCAGTGGATTCCGGGGGCAAAATTGGTGAACACACTGGACTCCTGGACCCTGGTCCCCGTCAAATGTAAACCAAAGATTTGTCTCCAGCGTCAACCACCGGGGGTGCACAACCCTAAGTTCCCTTTTTTGTGTTGCTTCAACCAAAGTGTCTGGGTAACCAGGGGGCGTGGCACAGACGGCTGGAGAGGACAGGATTGAGTTCAGAATTGGCATGGTGACAGCCC